ATCTTCCTCCCAGCCTCCCAGAGGCTCCAGCCCTCACTGCTGGCAAACCTAGTTTACGGACCCCCCCTCCCCCGCCCCCAGCCATCCTCTTAATAGCTCCTTTAGCTCTTACTCTCGAATCTTTGATTTCCTTCCAACCCCAGATTTTATACCACCCTCCAGATTTCGTCTTTTTCATTCCCATTCGGGTGCAGTCTTCATCCATCACCCTTTTAGCATTTCCTTGGGTGGAAAATGCTGGAGAAACAGCCTTGGGATATTAGAGATAAAAAGTGTGTATACATTTTATATATGCATATAAAATTGATTTCAGCAATGTTCTGAAGCCACAATGTGATTCTCAAGCTTCAATCTAGAAGCTAGAAGAGTTAAAAAAAAAAAAAAAGAAACAAATAAAAACCAAACCCCAAACCTCCACAACCCAAACCCAACAATTAGAGACAACTAGAGAGACCTCTGTGGCTGAGGTAGTCACCTAGAGTCCTCAGACCCTTGATTAGTTTTCAGTGTAATGCTTAATTGTGAAACTTTTTCATTAGTCAGTAGTAGTTATATAGGGTCCCTGGAGTGGCACTGGGGGGGCAAGACTGATGGATGTTTGTGTGCATAATTTGTATTTTACGCTTGACAGACACCAGAAGAAATAGAAAGATTGACAGTTGATGAAGACCTCAGCGATATTGAAAGGGCCCTGTATCTGCTCAGGTATTTAGGAAAGTCATTCAGTGAAATTGCTGCTCTTTCCCCTGTGGCTGCGTAGATGAATGCTTTCTGAAATGTCATGCTACGGTTATGTTCAGACTTACCTAGCCATCTGAGCCACAGTACTTTTGCATGCATAGCACTTAATTATGTTACAAATTAAGATGTAGGTATAGATTTACAAATCTGAGAACTGAAATCAAATAAGATTCCTAACTTAAGGAATGTTGCTTGGAGGAGGAGGAACAGAACTAATCGTTTAAATTGACTATCATTCTTTTTTTAATTTTCCAGCTTTCATGGTTCTCCTAGAACATCCAATAAGTTTAGATGGAATTTAAGACTATCTAGGGATTAATTTAACTGTAGAGTGTGAACCTTATATACTAATTACTATATAGAAAAAAAATCCACAAATATGGTAGTTGAATTTGTTGCTCAGGATATACTGTCCCTGTTACTTTGGCTATGTGAGCTTTATAATAATGCTTGAGAGATTTTAAAATTTAATTGCATCTACTCTCATTTAAGATTCTTCTCACAAGCTCTACAGAATTGCTTAAGGCAAATGTTTGTTAAAAAATATTTACAAGCTTTCTCAACTATTTTAAAAACTGAGTTTAGCTTCTTAAAAGTTGATGTGGCAAACATTAATGAACATATCTATGAAAATACTTCAGAAACAGAAAATTTTCTAAGGTGTCTTCTGCACTTTTGTTTTAAATTTTTTTTTTAAACTAGCCCAACACTTTTTTCCCCTTTTAGCAAAGTAGTTTTCATTTTTGTTTTTCAGAATCAGATTTTGAAAACTGGTGTTACTTACCTCCTGGGATATTTGTCATCCTTGTGTCCTTAGCTTAGGTCTTCTTTGCCAGTTTCAGGTCCCGGCAAGTTACTTGTTTTTTCTTGTTTATAGGTCATGTTTCTAGTCCCATGTTATCCATTGAAGGATCCTGTAAAGAAAAAGAAAAAAAAAGGAAATCCCCTCTCCTTGACATCCATTATAAAAATTATTCTTTAGCCTATTAGTGGCATCTTGGGTTTCTGTTCTTAGTTTAGTGAGAATTTTAGCATTCTTACAATTTAGACCATCCTCTCCAATAATCCTATCACTTTAAAATGTTTCTGGATCTTGGACCTTCCTTCTGTTAATGTTATTGGTGGTCTTTGGTAGAAGGTTCTCATCATTTCTATTTGTTTCTTTAAAAGAAAAACTTTTATTTGGGTATAAATTAACAGTTTGTGTTTTGGTGTTTACATAGAGAGTAATCCAACATTTAATCTATTTTGATATTTTATTGTTATATTTGAAGTACTTCATTGCTTAATAATTAACATGTCCAACACAGTGAACAGTAGTTACAAGCATCTGTCTTTTCTCATAGTCCTTTTCATTGGAGTGGGTAAAAGTTTGGATCAGTTTGTTTTAGCATACAGCAGCTAATGATCTGAAATAAATTCTTTCTTACTCCTACTGAATTCTTTTCTTTGTATAAACCCTGGCTT